TAGCTCCATCTAATTTATAGAAAGTACACTTGGCAGGAAATAGCATTAAGATCAACACAGAGATTGAGCAAGAGTAAATTTGAAATTATTTTTATAACATCCCAGCATCTAATCGATGATATTTTTTCATCATATTCCTGGTATAAATATGTCACAAAGTAATAAACAGTGGAATTAGTTTTATATATACACACACACACACACACACACACATTTTAAGTAGTAGTGACATTGTCCTTTAGGGCAGTCATAGAGAAAAAAATAAGTAAATTGTCCAAAATTGTCATTAATATGGGCCACCTCTTTTATTTTGAATGCAAATGTAATGATAACTCTAGCTACGGCTAGTGTGGCTATGTTTCAGTCACTGGCCAATCAATAACTTAGCCCCCTAAATGCCATCTGAATTGTAGAAATGTGAGCAGAGAGAAGAGACAGCAGAGGTTACAGTTCCATTAAAAGTTTATACACAAGTGACTTGAATAGCATGAAGCAAATAGAACCTGTTTATACACTTAAAAATTAAATAGATTGCGGACATAACTTCACGTTATTTTCATTTCTTTTATTGACAATATTATAGGAAAGATGCCTATTTCAAAAGCCCTCTAAAATTTCCCTGTGAGATTCAAGAATGATTTAAGTTTTAAAATTGCAAAATCCTGTTAATTCCATCTTTAAAATACCTCTTTCTCCTCTCTCTTTTTCATTCTTATACCATTAGATAAAATTTCCTGGAATACACCATCCTCGATATTCAAAGCCTTGCTAAAATTCTTTACTACTTCTAACTTCCTATTGTGTTCTAATGTAAAGTATTTCCACAGAAAGCACTTTCACATAGTTTTGAAATACACAGAATGTAGACTTGGTCAAGACTGCATTTACTTGACTGTAGTAGAATCTTCCTATCTTCTTATGCCTGGGTCATTCTAACTCAGTTGTGGGTAAGGCTGATTCTCAATGATTTGCTTTACACCGAGTGCCAATGCTGAGATGGTAAGCAGTTACCATTAGTGACTCATTAAACAGACTCTGGGAACATAACTGCCTCCCAGCTCCTTTGAAATGCATCAGGGATAGTTCCTACACTTGGAGCAATCATGCTATTAATAGTACTAAGAGTAAAAATGAAAGTCTGTCTATAATGACCACTTTTTAACAGGTGGCTAAAAGTAGGTGCAGGTGACTCAAAAGGGAACAACAAGGATGGCTTGCTAGAAGCTGGTAGGTAAGTTTAGAGTTATATATTTTTCTACTAACAGGGAAGGTTCAAGTCATTTTAGAGAAAACAAATCATAAAAGGTGACCTTGTAAGTGTTCTGCTGAGTGAGGCATAGTACATGAGACATACATTGTTTCTTTTCTATGCATACTTAGTAAATTAACTCCTTTTTTGGTTCATATGATATTTTTATTTAATTGAAGAAATCTAAATTATCATTTCAAAATGTAGTCCACATCAGAATGAAAGCCAAGATAAATCCTGTTCTTTCTGAGCCTTGAAATGCAGTGTTTTACAATTACAGCCCACCTCAATTCAAAAGCTAAATTTGATCTGTTTCAAGATTTCATAAGATTTCCAGTTATGAGAAGATTCATACAGAGTATTTGTTAACCTTCTTTAAAACAGTAATTCCCTGTGCTATACAAGCTGAAAATACTGGAGTTAAAAATCATATGATCATCTTTGACTTACTTAGGTCTACCTCTGCTGCTATTGTCTGCTACTGAGTCCTGAAGTTACTTTCCTCTATTGTATGTGGAAAATCCATCTATTTTTACCCATTCCGACTACAGTGGTTCCAATCTGAGCCCTTATTACTTCAACCTTGCATTGCTACAGCAGCGTCCCGGCTGGCATCCAGACCCATGTGTCTTATCTTTCTAACTTATTCTGTACACGCTGACAGATAAAACACTGCTTTCATCAGGTCCTTGCTCCTACCACTTATTGAACAAGGTCTAAAATACCGATCCTGACATTTATAGTCCTCTACAAAATTACCCCAGGCTCCAGCTCACATCTTCAGAGGTTCAATCTACCCACTTTTCTGTGAACACATGTAATGTTTTTGTTTTTCTTACCTCAAATGCTTAACTTACAGAATTGCTCTCATTTTGTATTCTTTTCTCTTTTCTACTTATTCTAACATTACGGTACAAGTCAAGTCCCAGCTCATCCTTTAGATCTTTCTTAAGCTCTTTAGCGTCAAATGACTGCTTTTGCAACGGACTGGTTTCAGTTTTTAACTCATACTTGTTGGGTGATGTTACCAGTGATCTCATTTCCCTAAACAAATTAAATTCCCTGGGTTGAACATCTTCATCCCTTCCTGACACTCATGGCTCTTTCTACACAGTCTTCTGAATGCAGTCATAGTTATGTGAGTGCCTGAAATCAGAAAGTCTGAAGCATTAGAGAGGAAGGGGGTAGCTCCTCCACAGTATTTGCTGACTGATATTAATCCTTACTACACAATTATTTTAGTTATTAAAAAAATCGCACAAGTCGGCATTTTTAAAGTCTCTGACTGGATAAGGGCAAAGATGGGAATAGCAAGAGTCTGACAGGTCAATTATGCAGAGTTCTGAAAACAGCCATGACCATCAAAAAAAAGAATCTTTTGCCTTTTTGCCATTAGTAAAGATATCTCTACTCTCTTAATTCTCTCCTTTTCATGTTTCCATAGAAATATAGGCTCTAAGAAAAAAATATTTATCAAGGCAACAAAGAAAGATTATCTTCATATAGAAGTTAAAGGAGTTCTTCTGAGTATATTTATGCACATATTACTTGTTATAATGAAACTTTCTCTTCCCAGATATCCCATAAGATTGCTGATAGAAAAAGTAGTCTGACAAATATGGCAAGATGAGGAAGCATTACTTAGGTACAGGCAGAGGAAGAGGCACCAGTAATAGGAAACCAAGAATGGGAACCATCAAAAAGGCAGGAGAAAGTGGCACTGAGTGAGCCGAAGATCCCTGTCACAGTGGAGGTGGGTAGATATTACAAAGTAGTCACCTAGGATGAGGAATAAGCAGAGCTTTTCAGATTTGGAAATGAAAAGATCACTGGTAATCACAGAAAGAAACGTTTTTATACAGATTGTGTCAAAAAACAAAAGACCCGTGTTAATATTGTTGCTTTTATGCCTACAGTGATCTATGCACACATTCACTGAGGCCATGATCTAACAGGAAGGGGAAAGGAATTAACATTTAATGAAGATTTAATATGTGCAAAGCGCTGAGAGGATCATTATGTTCTCAGCCTCAGAGGGAGGAAAGAAATAAACCAAGGTTGTGCAGTTAAGTAACAGAGTTTGAAACTAAAGCTGTTTTCACACTTGCGCAGCTTCCACCACATCTTAGATTTCCTCCAGTGGTATTCTACAAAAATATGCTTTTCATCTTTTTACCTAACTTCATGTCACACTTTGCTCCCTGGATATCATCTGTGCATAGACTGTAGAATATGAAAATTGGAATAATCCTGAAAGATCATTTGGTCCAGCCCTCTTTTCTTTTTTTCTCCATCTAAATAAACTGATACCCAAAAAGGTAAAGGGATGAATAAAACTCACATTGTATTAGTGAAAGAACTGGGACTAAAACTTACGTTTTTTGATTCCCAAACTCACGCCTGTTTTCATCATAAACTCTGTGTAGGGTCCACACTGTATGCAAATGTATGCTTGATTCAAGGAGGAATTAGCAAGGCATGACAAGAAAGTCTGATATCCCTCAATTTCTCCATGAATGGTTTCAGATGGGGAGAATGACTTTCAATTCTAAATACCTAAGTCTCTATAACTGTAAAGGGAGAGTTATTTTTTAGCAGATGCTGATGGTGGAGGATACATAATGAAAAATAAGCATATAAAATAAAATCCTAAAAATCACTGGACAGTTAATATTAATTGTAAACTAAATGTTATGTTTCAAATGAAGATTCCTAAAATGACTATCATAATGGAAGATTTTTTACAAAAAAGAAGCTATTCTTCGCAAATTTAAAAAAAGCAATCTTTTCACTATAAAGAAAAGGGGTCCCGGATCAAATCAGCAAAAACTGGAATCTAATTCTGTGTGTTCAGAGTTCTACAACATCATCCAATACATAACTACAAATGAGGGTGCAAAGCATGTTTTTATGAATTAAAAAAGGTGGTTGTGTATTCAATTACATATTCAGCTACATTTTAGATATGTAGCAAGAATTACATTCTAAAACTCAACATGAGTAAAAAGAATCATGTACTCTTTACAGATTGAATTTGCTGCATGTATAAATAACATGTTCCAAAGCTTGGAATGTAAGTATTATCCATAATATCTAGTAAATAATCATGGCAAGTTGGAAACATTTCCATCACTCATTTCTGCAAGAAACCATGTTATCTAGTAGCGTCGACAGATTGCAATCCACATATGGGCGGTTTAGAGTACATAAATCTGCCATTTAAAAATCAGTACTAAATATGAACAGAATTGGGGGTCGCCATGACAATGACAAGGATGTCGTTACTGAGAATTTCTGGGAAAGTTAACCAATTATATTACATTTTATGCATCACGTATATAATGCATATGGGCAATGATGTAAGGATCTTATTGATTGTTAAGGTGACAAGCAAAGTGTTATGGAATCCCATGAGCCAAAAGCTAACTACAAGAACAACAACAACAAAAAGCTGCAGTGTACAATCTATGTCATAACGCTTTCAAGAGCTTGGTCTGATCATCTTCTAGGTATGAATGAGGGGAAAGTTTAACCAGAGGAGTTAGGAACTAATGTCAAAGAATTAAGGACACAATTTAAAAAGTCAGGTTTCCGTGTTCTGGTATAAGGTAGAATGGGTGGTAGCAGATTCTTAACTGCTTTGCTCTGTTTGCCTAGCATAGCATCAAAATGACAAACTCTTCAAGCTAGTGGTTAAGTTAGTGCTGTTGGAGAAACGCAAAGCAAATCAACGTGGAATGGGGCCTCCCACCTCTTGCCTGCCGTCCGGGCCCACAGCCCTCCTGTGCTCCAGGGCTGTCCTGTTGCACGCTCCAAGGGACTAACTGGCACCTGCGCCATTTGTGAGTCTTCCACCTACAGGGAAAGAACAGAAGCCTCATAGAGAAGAAGCAAACATACTAGTAAATCACAGATACACAATGCCAAGGAAGCATGACTTTGACCACTGCAAACAGGAATTTATTTGACAGTGCTGATGAAATTAGTTGCAGGGCAGGAATAAAGATGTAGACATAGAGAATGGACTTGAGGACATGGCGTGGGAGGGAGAAGCTGGGGTGAAGTGAGAGGAGCATCGACATATATATACTACCAAATATAAAAGTTAGCTACTGGGAAGCAGCAGCATAGCACAGGGAGATCAGCTGGGTGCTTTGTGACCACCTAGAGGGGTAGGATAGGGAGGATGGAAGGGAGGCTCAAGAGGGAGGGGATATGGGGACATGTGTATGCATACGGCTGATTCACTTTGGTATACAACAGAAACTAACACAGTATTGTGAAGCAATTATACTCCAATAAAGATCTATTTAAAAAAGTCCTATCTAAATTTAATTTAGATCTTCATCAAGGAATTATAAAAAGCAGCACTAAAAATAAAAGTACTTCCTACTGCAGTGGAGACAAGAGTCCATCACTGTCAAGTTCTAAAGGAACGGACTCTACTGATAGCATTTAGCCTTTTTATTTATTTTTATTTCTTTTTTGTTAAGGCTGCACCATGAGGCATGCGGGATCTTAACTCCCCAACCAGGGATTGAACCCATGCCCCCTGCAGTGGAAGCGCAGAGTCTTAACCACTGGACCGCCAGGGAAGTCCCATATTTAGCCTTTTTAATGATTAGGACTGCCAGCAGATGTATCCAGATAGTACCAGAAGTGATGTGTTCCACTTTAGAAAGGTATATTTATTTTACATTCAAGTTATAAAATTGCATTCAATGCATGAGCCTTTTGTATATATAGTGGTCTTTTGATTAGCATTGTAGGGGTAACTCAGAAGCTGCAATTTATAATACACTTCACAAAAACAAATCCCCCAAATAAATAAGTTTGGGCTAACAGTTAATGTTCATCATGAAAGCATGCAATTATACTGTTTGTCATCTCAGAATTAAACACAGATAAATTAAGATGACAAATTTGCCATCAATTTCATCTTAAGTTATTATTTTGGGGTCACACATTCCATCAATTGATGCCATAATATTTCATTTGTTGTCAGGACTGCAATTATTCACCACATCAAGTTTCAATTAGGTACTTTTTTCAATAGTTATGGAAAAATTTTTTTCTAATAATCAAGATGATGACATATAGCTTCAATAACCTTAATTTTCCTTGAGGTGGCCACAAATGTTCAACAAAACAGACATCTTACTAACATCACTGAGACAAAGATGTCATTCCATGACCCAGAATGCCAGCATTTATGAGGAATAGGTGCTCTATGGAGCCGGGGGAGGAAGGCTTAGGCTATTCCTGTAAGCGAAAAAGAACTGCTTCCAAAAGCATATGTTTCATAATTATTAATCACTTTTCTGCATTTTCTATAGATTATATCAACATAAGAAACTCTTCAAGCTCCTAAAGCTTATAAGACAGCTTGGAAGTTTACGCAAGTATTTGTGTCCCTGGAGATGATTTCAGTAGCAAAGCAGCTCTTTAAAACAGGCAAGAGATGGGACCCACAGTCATAAACATCCTCAACTCCCCTGAGTCTGCAGGCAGTGTTGGCTTCCTTTTCTCATTGTCAGAAAAACCATGAACCTGAAGTATTTTGCTTAGTGCATCGCTCAGAAGGCTTTTCCTTCACTCCATTACCTGTAGCTTTGGCACACCTGAGGGGCCTCGCAGGCCTTCTCTTCATAGAGAGGATCCGTGCAGTCCTTGCCTCCATTGGCTGGCAGCTGAATGATGACCCGGTGCCGAGTCTGCTTCCTGATTCCGGAGTCCCCTGGAATGAGGCAGCTTTTTAACCTCTGTTCTCTGCACTGATGAAAGAATCTCCAAATACCAGCCTGTGTGAAGAAATTACATTGCTTCCAGCTCCATGTGCTTTGACATCCCTGACTGAGAGGCCTCGTCTAGTCATTTCCTAAATTCTCCCTAAGACCGCTTATATTGAAAGCCAATCAATGTATATTTAAAAATGTGAAGAATGGAGAAAATAGTTCCATAGTCAGCTAGTCTTCCTAATGCTCACTTACAACGTAATTGCTCTTTTGTATGCTTCTTCCCCCTTGAGAAATATGACAGATCTAATTAATCTGTTTTACTCTGCCTTAAGTTTATTTTCATGCCGTTTCATATAGCCCTGTTTACCACATGGGACTCATACACATCTAATGAATCTTTCTTAGGAGAATATATTCAATGTTTTAATGTGAAATTCTATTTCTTTGTTATTCACTTAATTTGAAATGTATAACTCGTAAATTATTCTAGTCATTTATTATTCATGTTAAACACTTTAAGATCTTTAATTCAGGTCACATCCTAAACATCCGAGCTGTAAGTAGTGAAATGAAAGTCGTTTCCTTGAGGCAGAATTTATAGAGAAGCATTCAAAATAGCGATAATTACTATAAGTAAGTTACTCCAAATTATGTTACAAAAACAATGGAAATAATTAAGATTTACCTTCGATGAAGATATCAAATTGACAGTACTGCTGATATAAAGATGCTCAGAATTTTTTTAGTATGAGAAACAGATGATATATAAGACTTGACAACTTTAATAAAATACATACTTGACAACTTACAATATATACACTTTGAAGATGAGTAGCCATATGTCATGAATTTGCTTACAAAAGAATTCCCTAAAGAATTACCTTACTAGAGTTCCCCTGATGCATTTACATGTTTTCTCAAGATCATTAAATATCTGATATGTAGACTACAGAAACAGAGAAATTTAGAAGGGTTAGCAGCCCCTAACAGTGAAAGTTTAATCAGAACTGAAATGAAATATCCTTAAAGTCATTGTGTTCGTAGAAAAATATGATTTGACAAATAGAAGTTTCCAGTAATGGAACATCCTCTGACATGAAGTCAGGGTATCCCTCAACACAGTCTGGCCACTGACTCCTAGCAGCGTGACTTGAAGATTCCTGTATTAAATGGGAGAATGGATCAGATTAGTGATTCCTAAATGTCTGACTACATAGGAGAATTTCTTTGAAAAAATAAAAACCAAAAACCAAAAGCAGATTTCTCGGCATGTACCCAGAACTACTAAATAAGGATCTCTTGGGAGCTGGATGTGGGAATCTGTGGATGTGGGAATCTGATTTTTACAAAGCTTGCCAGGAAACGGTGATAAACAGCTAGGCTGAGATCTACTGGAATGACTGACCATGGATGTCCCAATTTAAGATTCTAGAATTTGCATGTAACTTTTTAGGATTATTCCTATAGTGCGGGAAACCTGTACTGTTAATGACTGCATTAACTATTTTAGTGAATAGCTGGAATACTACAGGTAATGAAGTATGGAACTAGGGGGTGGAGGTAGTGGGTAGCAGAGAGTTAAAGTATTTGGAAATATTGTCCTAGACTTTTAAAAACTGTAGCAGTAATAGTTTGAATGCCAGCTGCAGCTTTTACATATTAAGAATAATTTATCTAAGATCGAAGAAGTGACAATAGGACTTTTAATAAAATTGGTAATGCTATCTCCATCCATTATATTGTTCAATGACCCTTATTTTAAGGCCCACGTGATCAATTCCTCTAATAATTTAGAGCTAGGAAAAATCTTGTTTCCCTTGACAATCTGTTAAGAATGCACTGTGCTTCTGTTTTTTGCTTTGTTCACCAGAATCTCAGAGCTAATTTTCTTCTCAACTGCAGGAGCTTACCTTAACTTTGATTTTATATTGTAATTTTTCTCTTCTTCTCCCCTCCCTCTACCCTATTTACTAACTGACTCCATGCTTTTTTTTTTACACTATTATCTATTATTTTTCCTTTTGTTTTATATTTATGCTCTGTCTTTCATCTTTTTAAAAGACTATACAAACTAAATGAGCATTCTTATCATTTGTTTAGCACTGGGGGAAGGCAGGAGGCGTGTGTTTGTTTTTTAACAGGGAAAAGAGGGAAAGACCAAAGAGGAGCAGGTCTTTGTTTCCCAGGTGGTCGAAATTCTTAAGAGTCAATAACTCTCCAACCCTTTTTAACCTGCAGATAAAAAATAGACATAGAATTGAGGCCAAGGGATCCACAGACTAGAGGGGACAATGAGAGCAGCATCAGTGGCACCATATAGACTGAAGCTCCTGGTCATTAACTACCTAAATATCACCTGGTATATACCCAGGGCTGTTCAGATTTGGGAAGCAGCAAGCAAATGTTAGTGTTTCAATTCTACTTTGTTTATTGACTTGAAAGCAAAAAAGTCACCTAATATAAAACTCTGAAACATTCTAGTGCCTTCTCATCACAATCTCCACAAGTTTGTACTCGATATATAACACCATGATAACTCTTTTCACTTCCATAATAGATTCCACAATGGGAATCCATTCATTCTTATAAAAAAGTTCAAATACCTTAACCTTGCACAGCCCACAGGAGAGAGACTGTGACCTGATTAAAGTGGAACATTCCAAAGCCATAACACCTAGAGAGGAAGTTTAATGGGGTTACACAGGAAGTGTCATGACAACCATGCTTCTACCCACTGGGAGGTTCGTTTCTTCTCAGATCGCAGTTAGCAAATTACGCGTACACTCAAAGAAACAGCACTTTAGAGCTCTACCAGTTACAGAGCCCTCAAATCAGTGTGCAGACAAAGGGAAAGCTACAGTACATGTTAAAAAATAAATTAATAAAAGTGGAAGGCTCCTAACTAATAACTTGAGTTGGCAAGTGTGGAATTTTACAATCTTCAGAGTTTCCCACCTATATTTACACCCAATTTATTGTATGAGGTGGGGATACGTACATAATTTCCATTTATCTTTGTGTTTTAGCACCTAGAACAGTGGTCACACAGCGTAAAGTCTTAATAAATGTCTGCTGAATGAGCAAACACATTTATTTCACTTCTTCTCAACTGGATTATAAATTAGCATTTTCTTTTCCTTTATATCCATTTCCTTAGAGTATTATGCACATGGGTACTAAGTCTGTTCTTTAGTATTAATAAAAAATAAGGTATCATTTTGTTCATTGGAAATAATAAGCATGGGAAAAATAAAGGAATAATCCTATAGTGTTTATACTTGAAAATACCTACCTAGGATAGGTAGAGAAAAAAGGGATTATACATTCAGAAAACATTTATGTGGTAATGGGCCATAGAGACTCAGAGGATATGTAGTCTCTCACTCAGCTACAGCACTTTTCAGATATCTTAAGACATTCAAGATAAATTTCACTGGAGAAGTTCCTTGATGGAAGGATTTAAAGGACAGGCAAAACTAAGATGGGTTAAGCTGGAAGCGAGGCGGATGGCAGGCTGCAGCAGCACAGTGAGGAAATTGAAAGGGAAACGTTTCATGCAAGAAGTCAAATGTAAAGGCAGTTATTGGACCTTTGAGGGGTAATTCTAGCATAGTGCTGTTTGAGGGCATCAAGGTAGAAAAGATGCCTCTGCAATATCCCTGCTAGCCCTCAAGTCAATAAATTTAGCAAGAAAAAAAGGAGCAAACACAATTTGAGCAGCCAAGTGTATTATTTGATCAAAAGTATTGATTTTTTAAAGATTAGAGTTACAAATAATTTATATGCATAAATATTTTCCATCTTTAATAAAGCCCTTTGTAAAGATTTATGAAAATTTGGAAACATTAACAAGTACACTGGTTTGAGGATTAAATTACTTTCTGTTCAATACTGATGTTTACCAGCATTGATTTTTCAAGGCACATCATGAGAGAGGGCTGAATAATATTTCAAATTACTCTGCTTGTTCTTCCTGGAATCCTAAGCTACTCTGTCCCATTTTCTGCAATACTATACTGTAATTTTACCTATTTCAAGTGACTTAAAAAGGAGGGTAGCTCTACATTTTCGTAAGTTCAAACTCTTACAAAATGTAGATTTTACCTACAGAATTAAGTTTAAAAGAACCACCTCATTCCTGAATTAATTTTCATTTGCTATCATCTATCCTTGAACATTCAAAATTTTAAGCATTTTTTAATTGCACACAGAAGTCAGTGTAATTTCAATGAAGCTTGCCTTATTTCCATTTCATACCAAATAATGAAAAGCTAACTACATGTCATTGCTTTATTTTCCCTACAACAAAAGGCTAATCTTCTATAACACCACTGTATCCTTATTCTCAGTTACAGCAGTCTACAGGTGAAACAGAAAAGGTTTCTTCCAGCACACAAAGCATCTTGACACTGTGTCCAACAGCAAGCCCCTCTGCCAACCCCCTAGTCTTTCTTTTTTTCCTCAATACGCAACTATAGTTATTCTTTTTAAGTCTGAGTGCCTAGGTTTAAGATTTCTGAAAGCCTTTTGTTCTAGGAGACTCGACACAGAGCTGCCAAATACAACAGGTAGGGCTGATCTGCTGGTGGTGAGATGTGACCTCAGCTTGGCCAAACACAGCTCCTCATCTCAGAACCTCTTGCTCATAGGACAGCAGATTCCTGAGCTGGCATTCTTGCACTCCTTGGCCACTACCACCCAGGAGCTTCAGAGAAGACTAGTATTCTAGTGGCAGCACGCATTTTAATTCACAGCAGTTACCTACCTTTCACCAAGAGACTATCCCAACTGAACCCATTACATCTAACATGCCTGTCGCACCACAAGAAACTAGCACCCTCAATCCCCGCTGCGTGTCTTCCATCATACCTGGACCACAGCATACAAGCTGTGCATAACCTTATTCAATTTCTCTTTCTTTTCTATCCTCTAATCTTTCCACCACTGTACCTAAAGGAACACACTGTCTCTCATCTCCAATCTCTTCTTAGAAAGTTTC